GGTCTTGTACTGAGTCAATGGATCTAAAAAATCCTAGATCAAGTACATTTAAATCAGGGCTGTTGGGGGGCTGGAATTTCAGTTGAATGTTCCAGTCCCCTTCTTGAGCAGCAGCAACAATTTCAGGGTCATTGCCATCCACATGAGGCTTAGCATTATCTTGTTGGATAATAATATCCCTTGATGACCCAGGCCATTTCTGCTTAATTGCAGGTATCAAATTAGTCAGTAACATTCTCTTCATAACATCTCTATTCACAGTTGGTTCAGCCTTTGTTTCCAATGTCCCTGCAGGCCTGTTTTTACTAGACCTTTGCGCTGCCTGTTCAAAAGTGAATGGGAAAATGCCTATTTTCCCATCCCATAACACATCTCCACCCTCCCCATACCTTGGCCTGCCTACTGCAGCCAGGAACATGATCTTTGGTATGAAGCTTTTGCTTTGAGTGGTTCTGTAGGGGTAAGGTTCCTCTGGCAGAGCATAGAATGTTGTGTTTTTTTTTGGTGATTTCAAACCATTTTTCATCAATGTGAATGTGATCATAAAAATCATGAAAAGTTGGGCTTATGGGGAGTGATTGAGGAGATATATGGTCAAGACAGAATTTTAGTCTTTTTTGCTTACCTGACTCACATAAGTATGGCTTTATAGCACTTGAATGTCTCCTTATTTCTTTGCGCTTTAGCCATCGGTGGACTGTGGATTTTGAAACCTCCATGGCAAAGCTAAGTGCACGCATGTTCTTGTGTCTAGACAGCGAGATAGCTGCCAGTTTTTCCATGTCTACAGGCACCCTTTTTCTGCCACAACTTCCTTTCCAATGGCATTGAACATCAATAGGTAGGCCGGAGTCCAATTGTGCTTTAGCAATTTGCCAAATGTTGCTCACAGTTTTCCTTGTAAAGCTGAATTCCTCAGCAACTTTGCTGATTAAACCGTGCTGAAGTTTGCCATCCTTTGACTTTTCTAGTAAAACATCAGCAACTCTTTTTCTTTTTTGATTAAGTTGAGCTCCTTTACTCTGTGCTTCTGTTTTTGTTTCTGTTTCTGCTGCAGGGGTGAAAAGGTTGTCGAAGGGGACTTCTTTAACATCGGGTAGATGGTGCAACGACGAGGAGTCATGTGTCGATAAAGACGAAGGTGAAGAAGGCTGCTCGGGAGGGGGCATTGAAGGCAACCGGGCCAGTAAAAAGATAAAGATAATAAAGTGAAGAAGATAAGTGAAATGAATGCATTCATTTAAATATGCAATGCCTGTATGAATTTGTAATTTTTTGTTTAGGTTTTGGAGGGGTGTTTTGGAGGGAATATCAAATTTTCCTAAAAAAATTCACCATCTAAACAAATTTAATGAATGTAATGTATGGTGATGGTGAATGTAATCCCTGTAGTTTGAGACATGGGCAGTACGGATGGGTTTTTTGGGGTATGATTGCCTGCCATAGTTAATGTGATGCGTACTCCACTAGCTATAAAATTTTGCTTTACACTATTCATGAGTTATTGCAATTTTGCTTTTTGATTAGGGTTGGGGGGTAAATTGGGGAAGTCAAAGCAAAAAATTGGTCCCCTTATTTTGCTAAAAAGTCAAAATGGGTAAGACTCAAAGGGACGGAGGGAGTAT